GCTTGAAATAAACTGAGAAACTGAGTCGTGCTATGATAAACACAGAGTAAAACAGAGACAGGAAATGGGGGGTCTTTGGGTAATGAGTTCCAGCCACTCTTGAAACAGAAAGCCAGAGAAGGCATTACTTGAAAATAGTTTCTCAGTGACAGCTTAGTAATTTTTAGCTTGTTCTTTTACCATTAAAAGTGAATGGTTATTGCAGGTTTAGACTGCTATTTTTCCAGAGACCGACTGGCATGATATATCTTTTGAAGCCTTTAATGATATTGCAGCTTGTTGCTAAATGTGATCTGCACTGAAACAAACAGATGCTCAGTCTGAAGTTTGTACAGTTGTGTGCTGTATATACATCCGTCGGAAGCATTTGGGAGAAGTCTGAGGGACAGACTCAGAAGACTTAAATAACGTCTGAACATGGATCCATGTTTTTAGATGTGAGGGAAGGAATAGGAAGAAATCACAGTTGTGTTCTTCAGAACAAAGCTTTATCCCCAACCCAAATAGTTACTCTTAAACCTGGAAATATAATTGCTGAGATGGGCCCAAAGCATGGATGGTGAGATTGATATTTACAAGCACTTTACGTGGTTAAAGAGGGTAAGTAATTTATTGTGTTCTGCTGGCTCTTTGTGACAACTTATTATAGCTAACAAATTTCAAGCTGTACAGCATAACGAGGAAAAATACAGCTAATGCTTCAGGTTTAAACTATTGCCAAGTTCTTCATGAGAAACTAATTATAGGCATATTTCCATAACGGGGAAAACAGCTGTTTTGTCCTTAAAATGCAACTAAAATCAAGCTTTGAACTAATGGTAAAATAATATTTTATTTTGCTTCCATTAAATCTCCAAGCTGCTTCTGAGACTGTAAACCTACAAGGTGCATCCATGTAAGAGTTTATTGTATGAAATGAGAGTATGTTGCTTATAACCTACTCTAGGATAAAAGGGGGTGTTTGCTTAACAACAGTAGTTGTTCATTACTTAACCCTTTGTGCATAGGTGTAAGTGCAAGGAACTCCAGGATTGGGGGGTGGGGAGAAGGGTTCTGTTTGCTTTTGGGGGGGGCGGCTTTTTCCTTTTTTTTTACATATTCATTTATATATTATAAAAACAGACTAAAAGCAGTTGAACTCTTAATTTTGTGATGAATAGTATAAACAAATTTAATTACCTAATAACTTGATGAGATTATTTTTGTCTTTTGCAAGTAAGTAGGTGCTTACAGTAACATGTTCATTTCATCTAAGAACCAAATGATTTTTAATGATCTTAAATGCTTTCTTGACTTCATGTATTCTTCAGTTTTTAAAGGTTGCAATAAATAGGCCATATGTAAATTCTTTAAGGTAAAATGTATTTGTCCTATTTAAGTATTAGCTATCTTATTTAATAACTTTCCCTGTAGGTAATAGCATATTTAGCTTTTATACTCCCATTTATTATTTTCCAAAAATGTCTAGCTTTAAGCATTTCATGCAAATGTTTTCCATGAAAACATTTGTATGATTATAGAATCAAGCAAGTATTCTTGCACAGTTTTTAGATTTTGCCTGTTAATGTATTAATGTTGAAATGTGTAGTAACTGACTATAACTATGTGAAATAATGCAAAGAGAAATTATTCTGATTGTGAAAGGTAAACAGGCTCTTCATTTAGGCTCTGCAACTCTGATTTGGCTTCTTGAATGCATGTAAAGCTTCACTATGTTATTTTAATCTCTGATAAAGGGTGAAGCTTGTGAAACTTGAAGCTCACTTTTAAAAACCTTACGGGAAATATTTGGTTCATTTCTGGAGGCCCTTGTATTTCTGGATGGGGGTATGCAGCAGGAAGTAGCAGTTGATAATTTTACTATCTAAAGTTAACCTGTGCTTTGCACATGTAAAGGAGAGGTAACTAACTTGTAATGCTGTTTTCGCTAGGTTAGATGTTATATTTCTATTTTTATTGAAATAAGTTTTCAAACAATACAGTTTTCCTTTTCCTGCTTAGTATCATCTCTCCAAAGTTAGGTGCATCAAGTACAGGTTAATCAGAATGTCCATCCTACATTGGAAAATGAACTTAATAACACATGTAGGTTTGTTCTAATAAAATGGGAGTGGTCAAGGAAGTAACTTTCAGAGAGTTGGAGTCTTCAGAGTTGAATTTTAAACTGTCTTGGACATTGCAGACATACCTCTAATCTTGTGTTTCTTATGGTAAAGATTGCATAACACCAATGCTTTAGAAATAATTCATTTTTGAAATGGCATATAAAAGGACAATTGAAACCATATCTGAACAGGATGTGTAAGTTCTGTTAAGAGTAGAGACTGTTTTGTATTGTTTTGAAGAAATGAAAGTTTAATGGCATTGCTGAAGTTGTGTGCAATTCCTTTTATGTAGAGGACTATAAGGCAGAGTATCAATACTGCCCCCTTTTCTAGGGATGTTTCTTAAAGAAAAAATTGTGTGAGGGAAGGGAAGTGAGGAACAGAAATAAGAAAGCTGCAAATAATCTTGCACAGCTTGCAGAAGAACTTGAGCCATTATGTTCCCAAATTCTTTTGATAAGTGATAAAATGTAGAAATTATCTCAGTGATTTATTGAATTCTCATGCCATAGAATTCTAGTGTTGTGTCACATGTTCTCTGGCACCAATTGTGATAGCATATTCAGATTTCAGATCCTGTAATCGTAAGCTGATGCTCTTTGGCTTATAATAAAAGCACTACTTCCCCCACAGTAAAGAATATTTCTCAGTAGAGAGCAACTGGAAATGGTCTTCCATAAACCTTCAGTGATCTGTGCCAAAGCAGGCTCCAGTTTCACCATGAGTTGAAAACGCTTAAGGGATAAGGATCAGTTGTGATGTTGCAGTTGGTTAGGTGGCGTAGCTGGATTCGCATTACAGTATACAGTCTCTGGACTTCAGCTGCATGACTGGAGTGCAGGAACAAATGTAGGATCACAACACTCAGGCAAGTTAAACAAATGGTGCAGCTGATATTTTCAGATTCTCAGGAAATAAGAATCAACTTGTAAGCAGCAGTCTCCTGTGACGTTTAAATTGCACAGCAGAGCCTATACTGTGATAGATGTAAGAAGAAAAACCGTTTAAATAAGGTTCAACTAAATGCCACCACAATTGAGCTCTACCAAATATGCTTTCCTAGTTATGAAAAGATTTGTTAAGAGAGCAGTACCAGAAAGGGTTCTAGGCTCTGTTTGGTTATGATGAAAGGGCAAGTGAACAGATCCCCAAAATGCAGCAACCGGCCCTTGGTCATACAGTCAGCATGGTTAAAATCTTTCCTTTAACTGGTAAGAAAGATATTACTAGTTGTAGTACTGTTGTTCCTCATAAACACAGGGAACACATCCCCAAACCTGTAATATTTTGTCTACTAGTGAAAAAAAGCAATTCAACTGTGCCCAATGCATGCTTAGCAAATTGCCATGCTCTGAGAAAACTATTTCTCATTCATCAAGACATTCATCTTATATTGCCTGAGAAGTTGAATGAGAACTGGCAGATACACACAACTCTATTCAGGTGTTATATGATTTTACATTCAATGATGGAGACATTCAGACCTTGCTAGTGTTAAGAGCACACCCAAGTATGTACAGCTGTGGTGGCCATGGTAATTTATATTGATGCAAGAGTGCCTCTCAGCAGTTTCAGTCCTTGTACACACAGCAGTCTTTTTCTAGCATTACTGCTGAAGAAGCAGCATATTTCTTGTGGAGTGCTTACTTGGTGGTGGTTATCCTTTCAAGCCATTTTACAGAAAGGTGGCTTTTTGAATCAGACCAGTTTGTAACTAGGTCAGACATCACAGTTTCCCTGATTAAACTTTCTTTGATGGAGTGCGAAGCCAGAGATTGAAGAGGAAGGGATGAGCTCAATGGGTACCCCTCTTACATACAAACCTACTTCAGTTCCCCAGGTTGGGGTCTTGGAAGTTTCTTAGAGAATGTTATATTTGCTTTCAATCACCAGTTTCTACTGTCTTCCCTTTGATCTCTGGTATTCTTTCCCTTGACCTTAACTAGTACCCATGTTTCTGAATCAAAACTGATCCTGATTTGACAGCATTGGCTAATAATTTTTTTTTTTTAATGTTGATCTTTATAGAAAGCTGTGATATGAGAGTTGTCTGAGATCATTAATGATGCCTTTAGTGGCCCAGTTAATTTAGTTGGTGGTTGTTGGCTAGAAGTGGAATGGACAGTCTTCCACCGTTTGTGGACTATCCAGTATAAGGGCAATGCTGTTACCTATTTTCATCTGTAGAGATGAACATGAAATGAAAATACCTGTTCTTGACTCTTGTGTTTTGCTTTGGACTTTGGGTATTTCTACACCATGTCCTCACTGTGTCTTGTTAGGGAGGCTGCCAAACACATCCTGGTCCTGCTCCCATGTACCAAACCCAGAATTGTGCTGGTAAAACTACTGTCAGTGACCATCCTCACACATGCCTGTGTGGCAGTGGAGCTCAATCGGCCACACATGCAGTAGGGCCGAGGCTCCCAGATTGCAACCCAGAAGAATGGCAGGCCCTCCAGGGAATGCCAGCCCCAGGTCGAGCCCAGCTTATAAAGACTCGCCGGTCCCAATGGGAGGGGCGCAACACAGTGGCAGAGTTTAAAATTCGCCTGGAACAGATGGGCAGGATGACTGGAAGTGGCTGTGGCAGTCCAGCAGCACCCACACAGCAGAGGGATTGCCCTTGCAGGGACAAATGGTGGGAACCGTGGCAGCAAGCGGCTCTCATCGAAGCCAGCTGAGAGGAGCTGGGTAATTTACCAGAAGGCAGGGACTGGTTTTCTGCAGCAATGATGTACAGAGGGGAACCAGAACTGACAAGACAAGACAGAAAAGTTGTGAGTACTAGAGCTGAGCAAAGGGGAAGGGGAGCCAGCTTCCCCTAGTCTCAGTATACGGACTGTGTTTTGATTTGGACTTTTACCTCCTGAGCTGAGGAGATATGCCACTGCTAAGTGTTTTTGTTTCCTTTATCCTCAATGCCGGGAAAAGACTTTGGGAAATTGTCTGAACATTCTTTACCTGTGTTTGTCATCTGGGAGGCACCAGGCAGGGTGTAGAGGAGGCGAAGCCCCGGGACACAGGACTTGTGGTGTCTGTGTAAGGGAAGATCAGCCTCTCTATTTTTTTTATAATACCAAAGATGTGGCAGGAGAGAATTTACAGCACTCACGCAGACACACAAACCAGCAAAATGTCTACATCCTGAGGAACAAGCATACCCTCTCCAGGCGTGAAGTCCTGTGGGGCAGCAAAGGACAATCATGGGAGGTTACACTGTATCGTAGCAGCTTCATTGGCAAATTTCCTGGTTTGGCACATGCAGGCAGGAACAGGGGGACTGTGAAGGACATACCCAGAGGCATTGCTGCTAGGACCTGTGCTAGGTACTCCAGCTTCAAAAGCCATATTGATCTATCATGTTCAGTCCTAAATGGGTGTACACCAGTGCTACCACTTATCTCAAATCTGTTTGTATGAGCAATAAAATTATTAATTTTCATTGGGTGTGCTGGGACAGTTGTCCCCACCAAACTTTCCATGACTAGCAATTTACTGACCGTGAAAGTCTTATGGTCTCTATAAGGATTTTTCCCCCTAAAGATTTGTAGTAGTCTGGTTACAAAACTAGGGAAAAGTTAATTGTAGATTAGGTTTGCCAAATACTGCCATCTGTCATATCCATTTGCCCACATAAGGTCAAAGAATTCTGGCCACTATTCATGCTGCATAGGCATGCACAAATTCCCCTAGCTCAGCTTTGCCCAGTTTTGGATCATATGATTTCATCTCATACTAGTTTACTACCACTCCCACTTAGAGTTAGAGGACGGAGCAAGAAGAGAGACCTGTCAATGATTTTCCTCTTACTTCTAGAAGAAAGGAGAGAAGAGCTACGTGTCCAGCATCCCCTTGCAACATTTCCCCACCACAATCAGGTAGCTCTAAACCTTAGAGTCCAAGGTACCAATAGATGAGATTTAGATTATAATCATATTGTTGAATAGGCTATGTGCCTCTTCCCTATGCAAGCATTGTGAGATGCATGTATTGGTGGCCCAGAATAGTAAAAAAAAAAAAAAAAAAAAAAAGTATGAAAAATGTATATTTTTCTCAATAGCCTTAATCCTATGTTAGATTGAGGCAAGAAAAAAGAGTTTGAGTGTTCACTTCCTTAAATCTGGGTGTAGGTGATCAATTAAAGGGTCTCAAACTGTGGTCCATGGACTGCTGGTAGACTGAAAAACTGGCTGGTCTCCCATTGCTGGCTGCATTTTTTGTTTTCAGTGGCCAAATTACAATAAAAGACAATATATTAATCGTGTCCTGAATCTTACTTTTTCCATGAAAATAACTGCTGCAGCTGACAGTTCTTACTCAGTTACTAGTGGAACTGGAAGTGATTCACATGACTGTGAGAGGGAGGAGGGGGCAGCTGCAATGCAGTCTTTCTGCAAAGACATCTGTGACTTGCCAGAAACATTTGAGAACTGCTGATCGAAATTACTGTCAGCTTTATTATTTTTTTCAGTATGACTTCCCTAGTAACAGTGATGAATTACTATCTCAGTATATTGCTCATCCTTTATTTTCTTTTTTAAAGTAAACTGTAATGAAGATTCCTAAAGATGAAAGTTAACATACTCAAGGAAGCCACAGAATAGCGTTAGTTTTTGTCTTTTCTTGTATAGTCATTATCTTCTCTATGTGCTTGCTTAAAGGGGCTTGCTTTTGCAGACTGTGGAACATTAAACTTTGAGGGTGGATGTAGAAAATCTGAACACTGGCTTTGGTTCTGTTCCTAATGTGAAAGTTGTCTGAAGTAGTGTTCTCATTTATTTTTCCCTTTTCAGCTCCACATCTTTGTATTTCTCAGGGTTTAAGTCTGATGCTATTATAAAATAAAAACAGATCATGCCCTGAAATTTGTAACTCTTGCCATATATTCTGGAGGAACACTTAAGCTTCTTTCTTGGAAGAAAATTGTTCGATGATTGGATCACAACATAAGTGATTCTTAGAGACACAGCAAGTATTTCCAACGTTATGTCCAAACTAGAGGAGAGAATAATATAGCTGGGAAAGTCTGTAAAAAGCTTGGGCAGGTGCTAGGATGAATCCATATTTGAAGCCTTTACTTTAACTGGGGAACAATGGCAGATATACACAGGCTAAGTACAGACATTCTGGGGGTTCAGGAGCGGTTAAATCTATTCAAAATGGCTGCCCGATATTAAGTAAGTCGAGATGGAGGACTAGCAGGGAGCTGGGGGTCTGCTGGGGGATGGGAGGAGGTGTGACCCATGAGGGGTGGGGGCAGGCGTGACCCAGAGGTGTGGGAGTTGCACCCATACCCCCATCCCTCTTGCCCCTCCCCCCAACAGGACTTACTTGCTTGGCTCCAGTAGTGGCAAATGCTGATAAAAGTGGCTGCTCCCCAAGTGGCTTGTGGGATGGGGGTTGGGATGGCTGGCTGGTTGTGGGGGAGGGCAGCAAGGGGCTGAGGGGGAAAAAAATAGCCCAATAAAGGTGGGGGTTGTGCAAAGAGCAGTCGAGGCCAGCAGCCGGGTTTTCCCAGTCCTGGGGCTGCGCAGGGAAAGTGTACAGAAGTTCCATGCACCAATTTGACCTAAATCAAATAAATTTGATACTATATAGATCTAGGTTGATCTTCGTGAGAGGAGCAGTAAAAGCCTGTCTAGTGTGTCCCAGACCCCTGCCCCATGCACCCCGATACTCACTGCAGGAGTCCAAATGAGCAGCAGCCGGGGAGAAACGTGAATGCAGGCTCCACAATTCCGAAGCTGCCTGAGCCTGCATATCGACGATCAATGGGGCCGGAGCTTCGGAGAGATGTGGGCTGCTCAAAAAGCAGCTGGGAGCACAGCTGAGCAGCCGGCGGGGGAAGAGTGGGATGCTGGCCGGGAGACACCATCTGCAGAGCCAAGGATCACAAGCCTGGAGTGCAGAGAAACAGAGCGGAGCATCTGCTGGGGGACTCCGGCAGACTGGACAAGAAGCTCAAGCCTAGGAGTCAAGGGAAGCCTGGGAATGACATCGTAGCCCCATTAGGGAGCCCAGGTATGGTGGCTGGAGATGGTGGCAGGGAGCTACTAGCCCTCACAGGCAGCTCGGCAGGAACGTGCAGCCTGGCATGGGAACTACGAGCCCCGCCAGCTCGGGAGGAACAGGAGGTCGACCATGGGTCAGCTGGGACCCGGAGGAAGTCACGCTGGGAAGATGGATCAAGGTGGGGCATGGGGCGGCTGCCCACCCCCACGACTACTAGGAGGGAAG